ACAGGCTCTGTAACGGATTTTAAGATTACTGGCCTCTCGGATTTTATTATAAATGAGCTCAGAATTTCTACAATAAGGAAATCTATTTTCAATATCACCCTACCAATGACGGCACTACAAGCTATTTATGCAGCTAAAGGGTCAGTGGCATATATAGTTAATTTAGCCGGCGATGGCGATGCTGAGTGAGTGAAAAGAAAATAAATTACATATCGCTAACTTAGAGTGAAAAGTTGCTAATTCCACTTTTTATGAAAACCCATATTTTGATACAGAAAGCTAGAGAAATTAAAAATGCATAATTTCGAAAAAGATAAAGGCCCTTGTTTCATGTTTTCTCGTTTATATTCATTGAAATGAAAATTTGTTGATTCCAAAAGAAGCTCCGAAAAATTCGATAAAGCCAAAATAGTACGAAAGATCGAATCCCTCTGATTCGTATGGTGTTTTGCTTTGATATAAATAGGGGAAAATGTTATATTCAAAGTTTTGCGAAATACTTGAAAAAAATGGCTATAATAAGTTTTTTCCTCCTGTAAAATTTTTCAATTGGGACTTAGCAACTTTTCACCTAAGCTGGCGGTATGTGTGTTTTGGTATTCATCCTAGTTTTCAAACAGAGCTCATCTAAAGGATTTGAGTTTAAGAATCTCATTTAATTTAAAATCTGGAAAATATCTTGGCATACGAAATTTGAGCATTAAGGTATTGCGCATTGAAAATTTAATTTTTTAGTAAATAAAAACCCTTTATTATCTCGAAGATCACAGTTGGTGAGCTTTACATCGATTTTGAAAATTTACTTGAAGACGAGCGGATAAATGATTTCTTCCATGCATTGGTTAACGAACTAGGCCTGGAGCTTTTGGCAGATCTATGGACATATGAACAAGGTTTTTTGGAGGATTATATTCAAGAGGTATATATTTAAGCAAATATTGCCCGCCTATTGGTTTTCGTGAGTAAGATCAAAATAAAATTTAAGATAATTCTAAAATAAGGGATTAAAATTGAATATTCACATAACTTTTTTCTTTTAGAGCGTCAACATTCATATTGGTCAATATACGTTAAGCGATATTATTAAAATAATTGGTGGTAGTGGTGATGGCGAGCCAATATTTGGTAGCGGGCCACCAGGTGACTGCAGGCAAAATGCAACTTTTAATGCTTCCACATAAAAATAAGCATCACAACGCTGAAAAAGCTTGGTACCGAAGAGTTAGTGGCGTTATAAATACATAATTGTATAATACTAAATACTATATGTACTATATCACAATGTGAGAATGTGTTATATCATTCTTGAATATATACATATGTTCTATTTTTGCACGTAAGGCTATTGACATTACTTTTGTTAAGGCTTATCTAAGCGAGATTAGTTTATTAATCTCTAGAATTTAAAATTGATTTTAATACAAGCCTCTTTATCAATAAAAGATTAGAAACTGTTATAAATACAACGTTAATATTGTTCACTAAGTTTCTTTGTTGGATAAATACCCTGTAGGTTAAAATAACTATAAATGCACTATGGGTCGTTCCATATGAAATCGTCTGCTGTAACTTTGAGGGAGTCTTCTTTTAATTTGAATTAAAACTTTTGAAACTCGCCATTTTTATGCTTCAACAAAATTTAGCTCTAAAATGTTTCGTTTTTAGGTATCTACTAGGGCTAATGATTTCACCCGGGTAATGAGCTACCCGGGTACCCGGGTAGCGGGTGAAGCCCTACTTAGGGTATATATAACATAAGTTTTAAAATAAAAGTCTTTGAAGACTTAAAAATATTTATCTCAATGATAATTATTTTGAAAAAACTTTTATAATATAAGTCTTAAAATAAACGTCCTTGAAGACTTAAAAATATTCATCTCTTTGATAATTATTAAAGGACTCTTGTAATATAAGTCCTTAAATCTTATTAAATTAAACGAGCAATTCTTGTATATATTGTTACGATTATCCTCGAAACCTTGAGGGATTTCCCAAATATCTTACGGCAAGGAATAGTGCCATCAAAGGATGGAGGATTTACTTTGGGAACGTTCATCGAATTAGCTGGACGATTCAATTGCAAGCCCCGGAGACCATCTTCAAGCTCATCCACCTTAGCTTCGACTTTGTCCTGTTTTTCCTTAATAAGCGCTTCGATTTTATCTTGTCGTTCCTCGATTTTATCCTGTCTCTCTCTGAGTTCCTGTGCTACCAGCTGAGATGACATGCGTGTTTCCTGCACTTGCAGCTGGGATGAAATATGTGATGACATCTGTGACATGCGTGTATCCTGTGCTTGCATCATCTGTGACATGGCAGTCAATAACGTGAATTTTTGCCATTTTCGGAAGTTTCTCCTCTGGGATTTATTTAGCAATCCCACTTCTTCCCAATTGTTACGATTATCCTCGAAACCTCCCAAATAGCTTACGGCTCGTATCGCTGGATTGCTAAATAAATGCTCACGATGACCAAACTGCAGAACAATTAAATTTATTGTACAACAAACAATTTACAGTACTCACTAATACAGCAAAAACACTACAATACTCGTTAAAGTAATTACAACGCTTTACAAAACTTGTTAACACAATTCAACTTATAACTTGCTTATTCGCAACTCACTTTACTTGTCGCTTGCTTGTTACAACTCAACTAACTCACTCCGGTGTCTGCTGGCGTCCTTATATACCTGTGCTCGCACTCATGGCAACTCTAGAATGTTCTGAAGTTCACCGCTCATTCTCTTTCTCTCGCTATTCGCAGTGTTCTTCTAACACCCGATTTACATGATTCAAGTACTTGAAAGCAATTCTTGCTCATTCTCTTTTGTGTTTTCTATTTGCTTTTACACGTTTCAATTCTGTTGAATTCGAGTTTTTGGTTCTTTAAATAGGAAGCAACGAAAATGCCAAAAGCAAAGCAAGAAAGTTGAAACGACTTGACAGTACAGACGCATGTGTACTCGTCCCTTTTGTTCTCACCCCCTCTCTTCCACATGCGAGCGAATTGAATTCAATACTTGAACTGTGTAAAAGCAGTCTAACTTGACGTTTCTCTTCGTGGAACGTTCTACTTCATTCCCCGTACATTCTGCCAGTTTCTCGTTGTTCGCTTCGCGTTGCCGCAGTATTCGCCACAATATATTTATCCATAGAGTTCTCGGAAACGGTTCTAACGATTTTGAAGAAATTTTGTACACAGATATTGTTTTGGATTCTAAGGTTATCTGAATAGGCACTATCTCGGAATACACTTGTATAAGGTTGCCACCTGCTCGAAATTAGCGTGAGCTTTTTATTTTGACCAATATCTTCGTTATTACTTAACTTTTTCAATAGTTGATACACCAAAAGATAGAGAATTATAATATCTTTAAGGATTATAGAATAAAAACTAATTTAAAATGCATAATATGCCTTTTTTTGAGCTCACACTCAACTGTGTGCGTACGAAAAGCATTCGCTTGTGAACGACAAGTTTTGACAAATGTGTGTGAGCGTCCATAAAAATACGAATGGAATTCTTTGCCTTTGTGAAAGTTCACGCTCACGTTCACATTGAACTGTATATCAAGCTTTAGGATAATAGTGTAAGGCTACCACTTATTTTCGATTATTATATTTGGCGGGCGCTGTGGTGTAGTGGTAAGCAGTGCGTGCTTCCACTCCGCAGCGCCTGGGTTCAAGCCCTGGTCAAACATAGCAAACATTTAGAAAAAAGGGTTTTTCTTAACAGCGGTCGCCCCTCGGCAGGCAGTAGCAAACCTCCGAGTGTATTTCTGCCATGAAAAATAGCTTCTCATAAAAACACAATCGCCGTTCGGAGTCGGCGTAAAACTGTAGGTCCCTCCCCTTTGTGTGCCAACACCGAGGCGTACGCCACAAATCGAAGGAGAAGCTCGGCCAAACACTAACATATGTGTAAGCGCCAATGTATATACTAATAATTTGTCTAAAACATCGTAATATGGATATCAAATGAAAGATATTATTGTTGCGAACTTTGGTAAGAAAATATTTCCCATCAGGGTTGCCACGCTTCTATTTAATACAATATTTTTTTAATGTCAATCGGCATTTTTTTATGTATACACACTACATATACGCTGAAGATATGTACCATTCATTCCGGCGTATTTCGGAGTAGGGTTGCCAGCTAAACTTAGGATTAAGAATTTTTTTTTGTATTACCCATGGCACGCCCTGAAGGCCGGTTGCTTAAAGCCTGGTTGACACTAATCAAGGGTTAACATCGTTATCGTCGTTTCGACTCCATGCATATATGTAACACGGCAATAACTTACCAGCAACTTACACTTCACCCGGCGGTCCTTACCACTTCACTGACGAATCTCCTTTGCTTTAACAAAAACGTCGCCGCCTTATGTAAGTAGGAATTTAGAATGTACATTTGGTATCAGACATACTTCTGAGCCGCTTTACAAAGTAAATTACGTGTAATGCAGAGCAGTCGCTCGGAGTAGTTTGGCGCTTGGAAATAACTTCGGCAACACGTTATTTTGCAACTGACATTGGCAATGATGACAATTTTGGTTCGAAAAACTGAAAGAAAATATGGCTTACCTCGTAAGGTGCTTACCTATTTTCCCAGTGGCGTATGTGTTCCTTCTCCTTTGTCCGTGTTTATTGATATATCTGTACTGTAATGTTTTCGCACGCATGATGGCAGATTATTGCTGGAGCATTCATAACAGCTCTCTGGCTTCAACTTCTGCAAGTAAGTCTTATAAAAGAAAGTTTTTTCAGCTTAAGATCTTAATAAAATTAGATTAACTATAAATATTTTGTGTTTTATTGTAGAAAGCCACAGTGGTCTTCAATCAGTGTTAGGTATTATTAAAATGTAGCCAAGTGCAACCTTCAGGAAGTCATTCCAAATTACTCCTATATTTAAAAATTTCAAGATTTGGAATAGTAGCTGCTCCCCTTTTCGACTGGATCATATCTCAGGGAAATTTTCCTTGAACGAGATTGCCCAGATAGACTAAATATCAAATACTGGACTCAAATCTGATAATAACAAATCAGCATATATTTCAATAAAAATGCTCTTATAAAACAAAATATTAGTTTAGGTTTTGGAAAATTCCAAAAGGGGGCGAAATCTTAAAACAAAGAAGCAAAAGTGAAATACGCCGAAAGAGTTGATATAAACATTCATATATAAGATTCCTTGAAGATTCAATGTACTAAAATCTCATGTTGAAGAGTGTCTGCAGTTCATAGAAAATAATAACGGATTGGGTTATTGGTCGGAGCAAAGTGGAGAGTCAGGATATGATAATAATAATAATAATAATAATAATAATAATAATAATGGTCTGCGTGTAAAGAAAGCCCAAGCTGCTACCTGTGCTCGGCAGGAGATGGACAGAAAAATGCCCATCACCTGCCCGGGTCGGGAGCGTGCAAGGCCTTCAGGGATGCCCTTGCTGAGGCTAAGACAAAGCTTGGGAGAATATGATCAAATTTATACAAGGCAATATGAACAGGAGTAGGGTAGCTGATGACCTGCTGGACCAATTGGTTCTTGAACAAAGAGCAGACGCTGTCATCATCAGTGAACCCTATAGAACAAAGGAAACCTGGCTTGTTGACCAATCAGGCTCGGCCGCGATATGGATTGCTAACCCCAACCATCGCGCAGAGAGCAGCGGGGTCGGACGCTGCTACGTCTGGGTTAAAATGGCGCAAATCACTCTGGTGAGCTGCTACCTGTCTCCAAATGACACAGCCCCTGTCTTCAGGGGAAAGCTCGAAGACCTTGAAGACGAATTGCGCGATATAACCGGCCACATAATTGTTGCTGGAGATTTCAACGCAAGAGGCGTGGAATGGGGTATGCCCCAAACAAACACCAGGGGAAGACTGGTCCTTGAAATGGCAGCCCGCATTGGCCTGACCATCCTCAACACCGGAACGACCCCTACATATCGAAGGCCGGGTTTTGGATACTCTGTCCCTGACATAACCCTGGTCTCAGAAAGCCTTCTTCGAAGGGCTGACGGATGGAGAGTGATGGAAGACCTGAGTGGTAGCGACCACAACTACATCACCTTCCAAGTCACTGACATCACGCGAGGGCAAACACGTAGTATCCCTCGCAGGAAACCAGGATGGAACCCGTCTAGGGTCGATGTTCGCAAGTTCGATACGTCACTCCTAGCAGACTCCCAAGGCATTTCACCCACAATGGGAGAGATCCACAACAGGGAGTCTTGTACTAAGCTGGTCAAAGAAACTATGCGCTGCATTCACCGGGCATGCAAAGCCTCAATGCCACAGAGGAGAGCATGGTCAGGTAAAAAGCAGGTATACTGGTGGAATGACCGAATTGCAGAGCTGCGAAGGGCCTGCCATAGAATGCGGAGACTCGCAACGCGCGCTCGTGGTAGACCTGAGGCGCTGACCAGAGCAGCAGCCTACAAAAGCGCTTAGAAAGCACTTGGGTCCGAGATACAGAAGAGTAAACGGAACTGCTGGAAAGCGCTATGTGAAGAAGTGGATCGCGATCCCTGGGGCCAGGGATACAAAATAGTGGTGAAAAAGTTTCACACATCATCGCAAGCGATGGATGAAGCCCGAGTTAAGAATGTAGTGGATGCGCTATTTCCCACACACCCACTAAGAGCAGATACAGTGTTCGTCGAGGAGCAAGCCGAGGCATCACTGTTTTCGACAGACGAGCTGAAGCTAGCCCTGCGAAGCATGAAAGCCGGCAAGGCTCCAGGCCCAGATGGCATACCAGCGGAGGCAATCAGGTTAGCAGCGGAAATGAGCCCTGATCTCCTGCTTAACATGTACAACAGCTGCCTTAGGGGCCCGGGTCTTCCCAAGCCAATGGAAGAAGGCGAGACTGGTGCTTATACCCAAGGGCAAAGGGGACCCAAACTCTCCTTCATCCTTCCGGCCACTCTGCATGCTAGGTACAGCAGGCAAGATGATGGAGAGTCTGCTCAAAATACGCTTGACGTCAGCCAAAGAAAGCGAGGGAGGCCATTCACCCCGACAACATGGCTTTAGGAAGGGAAACTCAACTATAGGAGCAATTGGCGAAGGAGTCGAGGCGGTACATAAGGCCGAAGAAGCCTGCCACCAGGCGCGGCCAATAGTGCTGCTAGTCACACTGGACGTAAAGAACGCCTTCAACTCGGAAAGATGGGACGACATGCTGGAGGCCTTGGAACGGTCATTAAAGGCTCCAACATACTTGCTAGATATGATCCGGGACTACCTCAGAGACCATTGGCTTTTGTACGACACAACACAAGGTCAGAGAAACAGACGTATAACCGGCGGAGCGGCACAGGGGTCTGTACTTGGCCCGGACCTCTGGAACGCCACGTATGACAGTCTGTTGCGCACGGAAGTGCCGGAGAGCGCCTTCCTTGTCGCCTTCGCGGACGACGTGGCCGCCGTCATAACAGCAAGAAATGTCCAGCTAGCACAGCTCAAGCTAAACCAGGTCATGCGCAACGTCAGTGGATGGATGTGCGATCACGGTCTGCAATTGGCTACAACCAAAACGGAGATCGTGCTCCTCACCAGAAAACGGATCCCAACAATTATAAATATGAATAGGGGTGAAGCTTGACAGCAAACTCACATTCTGGGAACACATCCATGGAGTATGTGAAAAAGCTGCGCAGAGCACGGTGGCTCTAAGCCGGCTGATGGCGAACGTGGGCGGCCCGAAGCCATGCCGCAGGAAGCTTCTGATGACAGCGGTCCAATCGGTGCTCCTGTACGGGGCAGAAATATGGGCCGACGCATTGAAAGTCAAAAAATACCGGATTCAAATGTCTTCGGTCCAGCGCAGAGGGGCACTACGCATTGCTTCTGCATACCGTACAGTGTCCGCGGACGCAGTCCTAGTTATTTCTGGCGTCATGCCAATTGAGCTACTCGCTTACGAGCGAAAAGAGATTTACAATCTCAGTGCCGAGATAGGTCGAGCAGCTGCCGCGGCAAGGGCGCGAGCAACTGATCCAGCAGTGGCAACAAAACTGGAACGCGAGCACAAAAGGTCGATGGACGCACTCCCTGATAGCCGACCTTCAAACATGGCTGAACAGACCACATAGGGAAGTCGATTTCTACCTGACGCAATTCCTCACCGGTCACGGTTACTTCCGAGAATATCTTCATAGAATGGGAAGGATGGACTCACAGTTCTGTGCCTACTGTGGAAACGTCGAAGATAACGTGTACCACACATTCTTCACCTGCGAACACTTCTTGATTTCGCGCAGAATTTTGGAAGAAAGACACGGGACATAACTGCGAACAACATAGTTGGGGTAATGATCTCCAGTGCAGAAAAGTGGGAAGCAGTTGCGAGATACGTGAAGTTCGTACTCCGCTGCAAACGAGAGGACGGTTGGCTACTGAGCACACCCGAATGAAACGCTCCTACAAAAGGGCCGTCCCAAGGCTCTAGCAGCGCGCTCCTGCATCTGAAGACATGCA